CTTCCCGGACCGGGGCACGAACCCGTGTCCCCTGCATCGGCAGGCGGACTCCCAACCACTGCGCCACCAGGGAAGCCCGTAAATCCATTCTTGAGAACCTAAGGCCAACTGCGGCCCATAAGCCACGTCCAGCCCGCCGCCTGTCTTTGTAAATAAACTTTTATTAGAACACAACTGCACCCATTTCTTGATAAACTGTGCTCCCCTCATGAAGAATTTAAACATCCCCCTAGGCTTGTTCATCCTCCTCTGTTTACAGTTTGGGAAGCGACTGTGGATGAGAAACTACCTTGTCAGCGGGTCACCTGGATGGTGGCCGCAGGTGCCACCGTGGCCCACTCGCTGACCCTCTCTCATGTGGCCCTTCCATTTCTGAGAGCAAAGCAGGCCTCTCACCCACCCACCCATGGAGAGCATCTCCAAGGACTTGTTTGTCCCCGAACCATTTCGGGGCATCTTCAGGGGAGGTGCCGCTGGGTGGCTCTCACCCCGGGAGGCTCAGCTGTGACATGGCCACAGGCTGCCTGGCTGGCCCGGGAGGCTCAGCTGTGACATGGCCACAGGCTGCCTGGCTGGCCCTGGGTCCTGCTTTAACCACATTCATTTGTCCTTAACCATTTCAACTGCCTGCTTCTGAACCCGGTCCATTTCCAGGGGCCCTTAAGTCAACAGCACGTGGATTTAAAACCACCACCCAAAGAGCAGCGGTTACACGTCTCAGGGGCTGGTCAGACGTGTGACGTACTACGTGTGAAATAGTGGCCAGGGCCACAGCCACGCGGTCCTGAGCGTGGCCGACCTGTCTGCCCCGAGTCACGAGGAGAGGGCAGTTCCCGCCCAGGGCTGCAGGTCGACTTTCCCTCACCGCGCCCCCCACTGCCGGCTCAGACCCCCCTGGAGTCTCCCCCGTTTTCTGTCTTCCAGCATCTCCCCCCTCCGCTGCCCAGCAAGACCCCGCCGCCGCCGCCGCCCAAGACGACGCGCAAGCAGACCTCAGTGGACTCCGGGATCGTGCAGTGAACGCGCAGCGCCCGCCGGAGAGCCAGCTGGTATCCTTCCTCCCCGACCGCGTCTTCTCCCACGTCTGGCGTTTACCTCATTGGGCCTGTGATGTCTGATGTTTAGTGCAATTGCTTTTCCTTAACAGGAGTTCGTCTCCAGCCACTGAGTGAGAGGGCTTTAGCACTGGGGAGCGAGGTGGATAGGGGCCTGGGACGTGCTTTTATGTTTATCAAAGTCGGAGGCTTCTGAGTGTGTCCGTCTTGAGAGAGCCTAAGTCTTGCCCAGAAGTCCTTTTTTTTGTGCCAAATGACACATTAGCAGAGAGGCCGGTTGACCTGAGTGGAGCGCAGTAAGAGAGCTTAGGCCTTCACTGCAGAACTGTGTAATAACAGCTTAGGAACCCTCATCTCTCGAGGCCAAACCCCGGCTGACTCTTGCAGGATGTTTTATCAGACCCTCCTGGCTGCACCTGGTGGTGTGACTTTCTGTTACTTGAGTGTCCGTCCCTTCAACTTACATCAGGCAACTAAGGTCAGCCCTTTCAGGGAAGTTCCTGATTGCCTTTGGTATAATTTAAAATAGGGTATTTCTCCGCTACTGAACAGTTACTAATTTATGGAGTGGAGACACCATTTAAAATACTGGGATCAAGTGGAAAAATAAATGAGTATAGGCAGATCAATTTTCTCTCTTTTTCGAAAAACAGTACGTAGACCACAGGAGATGGTTTTAATTGGGTGAATTCTTCTTGTGCTCATTCTGTACAGAAGTTTGTATATATGAGGGTCTTTAGAACTTGTTTTAATTTTTGTGGTCCTTCTGTTCATTGTAATACGTGTCCGCAAATGGTTCCCAATATGTGTTCTTAACGTTTAACTGAGGGAAGTGTAAAAAAAACCCAAATTAGGTTTTCTTGGTTTTTTCCCCCAAAGCTCAAGTTCTAAAAATCATTGTGGATGATGATTAAAAAAAAACAAAAAACTAACTTAGTGTAACCTAATATTTTTATTCTATCATCTATATTTTTTTATTCACTATAATCATGATATTCTTCTAGTAGGCTCGAAAGTTAATCCATGACAACGAAAAATAAAATGTCATTTAAAACGACTCGCAGTGTCTGACATACTATGTTTTTATCCCTTGATGTAAAATCTAAAAGCCGCTGTTTTCCATTTTGCTTTCTTAAAGAGCTTTGTGATGCATGTTTATCTGTATGTACATCCTCCTCAAACACCGGGTCTTAATCATCTGTGTTTAATTGTCTCTGACTTGGAGGCCAGATAGACAGCACCCACACGCCCCTGCATGCGTCTTTGCATGTCCTTACAGACAGAGCCGACCTGAGCCTAGCGAAGGCTGGAGCTTTCTCCCCTCAACCCAACCCCGGGGCCCTCTGCCTGCACATTATTTACATCTCCTTTTAGCCTTTTCAGCTGCTAATTTGAGAGAGGGCTTTGTTTACTGGGGTGTGTCATTGCACTTGAGAGGCATCAGACTTGCCAGCTTTCTCTGAATCTTAGGTGGCAAGAAACAAAGAAGGCGCTGGGGTCCTGCTTTCCATCCAAATGTGTCCCTGGTTAAACACAAGGGTGTGACTCTGCCCCTTCTAACCAGGCCTGCGAAGGAGGCTGCCCCAGGAGGCTTGGAGGATCCTTCTCTGGCTCAATGGCTGGTCCCCAGTTTATTCAAACTTGTAAATATCCAGTCCCCCCACCACAGGGAATTTTAGACACACGTGAATATGGAATTTATTTCTTCTTGAATTTTTACTCTTTGACCAACATGAATATTCATGCTCCATTGAGTATGTTAGAAACCAGATATTATCCACCATCCTAAAATAATTGCAGGGGCACACCCACCTGGGAGGGGCCAGCCTCTGGCCGCGGGTGATATTTGGAGAGTCAGTATTTCACTTCTCGGGGAAGCTGTAGCCGAAATGTATAAAAATAGTTCCTGGCCCCATGGCAATGGTTGTTTTTATTCTAGAACAGCATCTGGGTTCTAGTTCTTGCCCTGCACCACTGCATCCCCCAGAAGGTCTCCCTGCATGATCCCTGGACTGCACACTCCGTCAGGGTACCCCGCCCCCTGCCCCCCCCCACCGTGTCCCCATCCCCCCAGCCGCCGGAAATTCCACGCTGGCCTCCAGAGCTGCCAGGTACGTGGCAAACACAACAGTTAGGAAAAGTGGACACTTTTTACAGGTGTTACAGAAATCTCCTAATATAAATATGAAAGTATATTTACAAAAAGTGAACTTCTCAAGCTAGGCAGACACAATTATTATTTTTTTTTTTTACCTTTTAAATCAACATGGGCTACAAAACTATAGTCAAGGGGAAACTGACCTCTGTGTCATCAAGTGTCTTCTGGAGACATTCCTTCTAGAAGGAGGTTCGAGAGGACAGCTTACCTCTCTAGATGCACTAATGTATTCCTTTTACTCAGAAACAGTGTTTCTCAACCTTTTTTCATAATTGCGTCCCAGGAGTCTTTTTAGACATTTTTTTTTCTAATCATTCTCTCAAGAAGTTTTAACAGTAGGGATATACTATACATCTATTTACATACTTTATGACTATCTCTGCTTTTTACATTGACAAAGTAAGATTATTGTTTTGTTCCCCAAGAACCAATTTTCATCACCTTCGGGTGATACTGCCTCGTTGAGAATACTTGCTTTAAAACAGGAATGGTGAGGGTCTTATTGTCTATTTTTGCTTTGATGGCCAGGAAGCTCAAAGCCAAATTTAGCTCTCACGCATTCAGTTAAATTTGGTTTTATTCTTTCGTCTTTCACAATACTTTCTCATGTATTACAAATCCATCCTTAACTATTCAGTTTAACGTGTGCTTTCCCCAAATCTTTATTAAAAGAAGATAGTATATAAGCTAAGTCTTATCAGTGTAAAAATTTTTTCTTATTGAAAAACAACTCCTGGTGCTTGAAGATTGCTTCCTAGTATTATGTTTTATTTTATTTTATTTTATTTATTTATTTTTTTTTTTTGCGGTACGCGGGCCTCTCACTGTTGTGGCCTCTCCCGTCGCGGAGCACAGGCTCCGGACGCGCAGGCTCAGTGGCCATGGCTCACGGGCCCAGCCGCTCCTCAGCATAGCATTATATTTTAAAAAATTATTTTTTAATCAATGTTAAGATTATTCTTTCACGTAAAGATTTGATCTCTTTCAATTCCTTACAGATTTTGCAGATTTTGTTACCTTCGGCTCTGGGTTGTTTTTTTTTTTATGGCATTAGACTTTATGTTTTATGTTCACCAAAGTCTTTGTTGGTGTAATGGATTTTGGCTTTTGCTTTTTAGTTCTAATTACTTTTTAGTATTTTACTTACTTTTTAAAGTCTATTTATTTTTTGGGGGTTTTTTTTTTTTTTTTTTTTTTTTTTCCAATCTGCCTTTTCTGAATTATTTAAACTCTACTGTTTAGTTGGTGATGATGGTAACAGGAAACCTAGTGAGCCAGTAACCCCTCACAGGTCCTGTGAAGGCCTGCAGGCAGTGAGTGGCCCAAGATTGCGAGGGGAGGCGAAAAAGAACTGTGTGGGACGGGGGGTGCAGCAGAGTTCATTGTGATAATGCTGAGTTGTTATAATAACAATTCACTTGTTATAACTGAGTTGATAATACTGTGTCAGCCCTGGACAAAAGACCGACAATGGTTAGTTCGTCTTATGGGTTAACTCAGCTAGGCTCTAGCACCCGCTTAATCAAACGTCAATCTAGGTATTGCTGGTAGGTGTGGTGAACATCGACCATCAGCTGACTTAAAGTACAGGAGGTGACCCTCTGTAACGTGGGTGGGCCTCGTCTAATCAGTCGGAGTCCTTCAGAGCAAGACCTGAGGATTCCCAGAGAAGAAGAAATTCTGCCTCAAGAGGCAGCATCAACCCCGCCTGCATTTCCATCCTTCCCTACAAATTTTTAGACGTGCCAGACCCCACAAGCACATGAGCCAATTCCTTAAAATGCATCTCTCTCTTTATGTATATGTATCTCCTGTGGGCTCTGTTTCTGTGGAGAACCGCGGTACAAGAGTGTCATGAGAGGTTCAAAACAAGATAATTCATGCAAAAGACAAGGGGCAGCAAACCTCCTTCAGTGAAGTGATAGAGGCTTCAGAGGAAAGCTACCGGGTAGAAGTCCAGAATCTGGAGCCCCCAGACAGCCACTCGGCCCCGCCATGCACGGGTTTCTTCCTTGGTCACATGCTGACAATACGAACTGCCCACGCTGTTATTTGTTTTCCTGGAGCTGGAATGTCCAAATGGTTTCCTCCATGGGTCTGGCGCCGGGGCTGGCTGACCATCCTGTTTCTCTGAATCTCTCTGTCTCCATCTCTGTGTATCTTTCTCTTTCTTCTCTGTCTTTCTCTGTCTCTCACTGTCTCCCTCTCTCTCTGTCCCTGTTTTTCATGTCTGTCTTTCTACCTCTCTGTGTAATGTCTCTGTCTGCCTCTCTCTCTCTTTGTTTCTCTCTGTGTCTGTCTGTCTCTCTGTCTGTCTCTGTCTCTATCTCTGTCTCCCTGTCTCCCTCTCTCACTGTCTTTATCTCCCTATCTCTGTCTGTCTGTCTGTCTCCCTCTCTCCCCCTTTGGCTGCCTTCCATCCTCCGTTACTGTTTCGTGTGTAAGAGGCTACTTTGCATGGCCAAGAATTTCCCTGTTTAAACTCGGAACAGGATTATTTTCTCTGCTAAGCTATGGTGAGGCTGTGGCTACGACCCTCCCACGTGACCCAGCAGGGGTGTGGGCTGCCCTTCATCTCAGCCCACCCAGTCTCGGCCTGGGATCCCCTCCGAGTCAAGTTGCATCCTCTCCTTGGGCGGCCGGTCGCACCAGCGCCTCCTGCTCTAATATTGGCTCTGGAAATGGCCTCACGCAGCAGCCGTGCTCCCTTGCTCTTTTCTTCTCTTGTCGACCTTTGTAAGATTTGAAGATTCCAAAATTTGTCCTACAATCCTCTAGCAATTGTGGTGCTTTTCCCACCACTGGGA